CCAGGTCGATGCAGAGGATGGTGATGGTGCCCAGGGGCAGCGGGATGTTGGCCATGATGAAGAGCAGGAAGGGGGTGATCTCGGGGATGTTGCTGGTCAGGGTGTAGGCGATGGATTTCTTCAGGTTGTCGAAGATCAGCCGCCCTGGGGACGAACACAAACCAACAACCATCACCTCGGGGTGTCCCCAAATCCCTCCGAGACCCCTGGATGGGGACAGGGGGGGGTTTGTCCCCGACCTTCCTCGACGCCGGTGACGATGGAGGCGAAGTTGTCGTCGAGCAGGATCATGTCGGCCGCCTGCTTGGACACGTCGGAGCCGGCGATGCCCATGGCCACCCCGATGTCGGCCTTCTTCAGCGCCGGGGAGTCGTTCACACCGTCCCCCGTCACCGCCACGATGGCGCCCTGGGGGCAAAACGGGGACGGTGGCACCGATGTGGGGACACGGGGACAATGGGGACATTGGCATTGATGTGGGGACATGGGGACAATGGGGACATTGGGGACATTGGGGACATTGGCATTGATGTGGGGACAATGGGGACATTGGGGACATTGGCACCGACATGGGGACATGGGGGACAATGGGGACATTGGCATCGATATGGGGTCATCGTCATCATGATGGGGACATGGGGGACAATGGGGACATTGGGGACATTGGCGTCGATATGGGGACACGGGGACAATGGGGACATTGGCATTGATGTGGGGACATTGGGGACATTGGCACCAATATGGGGACATGGGGACATTGACATCATCAGGGGGCAACGGGGATGTTGGCAGCAATATGGGGACATTGGGGACATTGGGGACGTTGTCATCGTCATGGGGACATGGGGACTGTCCCACCACAGTGGGGACACCGGGATGGGGACAGGGGGATATGGGGACCATGGTGGGGACACTGGGATGAGTTTTGGGGTCCCTGGGGGGTTTTGGGGTCCCCTGGGGATTTTGGGGTCTCTGGGGGGATTTTGGGGTCCCCTGGGGGGGTTTTGGGGTCCCCTGGGGATTTTGGGGTCTCTGGGGGGGTTTTGGGGTCCCCTGGGGGGGTTTTGGGGTCCCCCCCACCTGTCTCTGGCAGCCCTCGACGATGATGAGCTTCTGCTGGGGGGACGTGCGGGCGAAGACGATCTCGGTGTGGTTCTGCAGGATCTCGTCGATCTGCTCCGAGCTCATGTCCTTCAGGTCGGTGCCGTGGATCACACAGGCCTTGGCGTCCCTGGGGAGACCCAAAACCCCACGGGTGAGCCCCAAAAACTGCAGCTGAAGCCCCAAAAATGGGGCTGAAACCCCAAAAACGGGGCTGAAACCCCAAAACCCAACAATGAGCTTTGGTGTTGTCCAAAACAGCCCCAAATCCTTCAGGACAATCCCGTGGATCACACGGGGCTTGGTGGCACTGGGGAACCCCAAAATCCCATGAATGAACCCCAAAAAATGGGGCTGAAACCCCAAAAACGGGACCGAAACCCCAAAACCCAACAATGAGCTTTGACATCGTCCAAAACAGCCCCAAATCCTTCAGGACAATCCCGTGGATCACATGGGGCTTGGTGTCCCTCAGGAACCCCAAAACGCCCCTAAACCCCCCCAAAGCTCCCCAATCTTCACTCCCTGTGTCCCCCAGACCCCCCAAACCCCCTGGGGACCCCCCAAATCCCCCGTGGCTGACCTGGGGTTGACCTGGCTGACGGGGATGTTGAGTCTGGCCGCGATGTCCTCGACGGTCTCGTTGCCCTCGGAGATGATCCCGACGCCCTTGGCGATGGCCTTGGCCGTGATCGGGTGGTCCCCGGTCACCATGATCACCTGGGGGGGGGGAATTTTGGGATCTGGGGGGATTTGGGATTCTAGGGGGGGTTAGGAGGGATTTTGGGGGGTGTTTGGAGGGAGTTTGGGATCGGGGGGGATTTGGGATCTGGAGGGATTTGGGATTCTGGGGGGTGTTTGAGGGGATTTTGGGATCTGGGGGGATTTGGGATTTGGGGGGGAATTTGGGATTCTGGGTGGAGTCAGGGGGGATTTTGGGGTCTGGGGGGATTTGGGATTCTGGGGGGGTGTTGGGGGGGATTTTGGGGTCTGGGGTGATTTGCGATTCTGGGGGGTGTATGGGGGGGGTTTGGGGATTCTGGGGGATGTCTGGGGGGGATTTTGGGGTCTGGGAGGGGTTTCGGGGGTCCCAGGGAGTCCCACCTTCGGGTAGGGGGGCAGGGGAGGTTCTAGGGGGGATTTGGGATTCTGGGGGTGTGTTTGGAGGGATTTGGGGATCTGGGGGGGATTTGGGATTCTGGGCGGAGTTCAGGGGGGATTTTGGGGATCCAGGGGTGTTTTTGGGGTCCCACCTTGATGCCGGCGCTTCGGCACTTGCCGACGGCGTCGGGGACGGCGGCTCTGGGGGGGTCGATCATGGACATGAGCCCCACAAAGCAAAGGTTGTCGGTGGCGAAGTTCACGTCGTCGCAGTCGAAGGCGAAGCCCTTGGGGTACTGCTCCTCAGGCAGGTAGAAGTGGCAGAAACCTGGGGGGGGGGACAGAGTGAGACCCCCCCGGGACCCCAAAATCACCCCCTGAACCCCTAAATCATCCCTGAAACCCTACAGAAAATCTGAGACCCCACAGACCCCCTAAATTCAGCCCCCAGCCCTTGGGGAGCTGCTCCTCAGGCAGGGAGAAGTGGCAGAAACCTGGGGGGGGGGACATGGGGTGAGACCCCCCCGGGACCCCAAAATCATCACTGAAACCCTACAGGAAATCTGAGACCCCCTAAACCCCCCAGACCCCCCAAATCCACCCCCCAGCCCTTGGGGAGCTGCTCCTCAGGCAGGTAGAAGTGGCAGAAACCTGGGGGGGGGACACACCAGGTGAGACCCCCCAAAATCCCCCCTGAACC